ATAAATTTATTTCCCTTGATGAATTTGAATAAAGCGAGAACTATAGTTTTTGCAGAATAAACTGGTACCATCATTGTTTATTTCGTTGCCTTCTCGTCAGCTGCTTACAGGCCACAGTCATTATTAAGTATATCTACAGAAACAATTTTAACATATCTACGATTTTCTGAACATGTAACAAAAAGCTTATGTCTATAGGGAACAAATGCTTTATAAACAGTGCCATCGCCAGGCATCTTCTTGACACGTGGGTCATGAGGTGGACGTCTCAAGATCGTTCAAAATTATCAATAGGCAAAAGAGTTCGACTCTCCTTAAGTTTGCTGAAGCTAATCTCCATCAAGCGCCTGAAACCTGATTTATGCGTTCAGAAAGAAACAGTTATCAATCTTTCTTTGACAACCTGGTAACTGGAAGTTTTCACCTCTCCTTCATCTGATTACGTAATGCCGGGAGTTTCCATTGTGTACGATCATTATTGTTTGGAGTAGTGTTTAATATTATATACATATATATATTATTAATGTATGCGTATATTGATCGATTGATTTTTGTTTAAAAGGAACTCTGTGCAAGTATGTTAGAATTTTTTCTGTAGATATATTTAATAGTGACTGTGGCCTGTAAGCAGCTGATGAGATCCCAATGAAATAAACAATGATGGTACCATTTTATTCTGCAAAAACTGTAGTTCTCACTTTATTCAAATTAAAAATCATTCGCCAAAAGTACTCCTATCAAGTCCAATGTATTACTATTCTCTGGCTCCATACCTACAGTCTGCCGTATGGCTCAGTCCACTACAATTAAGAATACCATCAGTGAGCAGTAAGAAGTCGTCTTTTACTCCTGTATTCACTCCAAACGCTTCAATTTAGTTTTCAATTGTGAAACAGCTGGCACATGTCATTTGTCATATAGAGCTGCTGTTGAATGTAGTTGACGAAAATTTAGTCCACTGCCTTATGTGGTGTTGAAGTAGGTTTCCACCAAACTACTTTGCAGTCAACGCTTCCATGGTCAAACTTGTATAAGCAGCCAGTCGTGAAGCCAGCTGAAAAAAAATGACTGAAGAGAATAGGAAATCAAAATGTAGATGTGCACTGTTGAAGCCTTCCTTATACTCCGCCCGAAACACAACGGGAATAATTATGAAATAAGATGACAGACTAAACAAACCATATGAGGATCAAACTTGGACACTGTGGTGATAGAGTATAATTCCATTATGGATAAGAATTTATTTTGTTAAATCACAGTGTTTGTTATACAGTAATATTAATTGATGACCACGTTTCGAGCACAAACCATTGACACTCATAATCATATCAAGGTACTATTCACACAACATTTTACTTCGTGAAATTGATAATTAGACATTTGAATAAAATCAATATGGGATAATGTGCATTCAGAAATGATAATATGAGTGCATCAAATTTCCGAACATCACCCTGCCTGGTTAAGCAAAGGACAAACAAAATCTATTTGCAGCGCTATTCTGGCGCATCTTGTGGATACACACAGAACACAAGATTGACGTTATTCATGCTTTCAGCGTCATTTACCGCATACCTACGAATCTCAACTTCACCTTAAGAGTTCGATTACTGAATATTGCTGAGGTTGTGGGGATCCATATTAACAAGCCTAATTTATGCATCCAAAAGAAGTCAGTTCAGTCATTATCATTACCTTGGCCATCCAGGTTTGAATAATCCAGAATTTTTGTGAAATTTCCCTAATTTTAGTTGATATTCTATTTGCTAATATATCTTTATTATTATTATGATTTAAGTATCTTTAATGAACTGTAATTCCATTGTGATCTCACTTTACAAATCGATATTATTTAAAAACACATCAATATTGTTATTGGCTACTAATCTAGAATATTCTATGTATAAAAACATATATATATATATAATTGTAGAGCCTGGAATAGGAATTTATCGAAAAGAATATTCTTTGCTCGATTATTTTGTGTTTTACAAATACAATCAGATGGGAAATAAGGTGAGTGTTTTTATAGTCAAAGAAAGTAACTTGTTAGAATGTTATGATGTACGTGAATTGAAATAGAATTTTAAGATTATTTATTATCCTCCTCTGAATTGACTGACTGGTGGCAATAATATATTCCATATCTCTGGTATTTGCATTGAGTCATTTCAGTTGCATGTGTTGTATTGGGTGTAGACTCGATGAACCAGACAGGATTCAGTAATCAACCTCTCTCTCCATCTACCTAGATTACTTTTTAGAACTTTAACCCTCTCCCACCCACCCTATTGTGTGGTTGTGTGTTAATGCATGCATTGCAATTGCTGAGCTTTTTTCTAAATTACTTATCTTCGCGGGGTCAACCATTCTTACCTTAGCTTAATTCTTATGTTCTGATAATCTGACTACCTCCGATATACTAGTTTGACTCACCTATGTAGTTGACCTCACAGTCATTGCAGGATATTTTGTAAATTATATTATTTTGTTTAGTTGGGTCAACCTACAGAGTTCTTTAAGCTACAGAGCATGCCCTATCTGAGTTGGTTTGTAGGTTTCAATGTCTCCCCCTAATTCCTGCTTTGCTGAGAATCCTACGTAGTGTCTCAGATGTCCCTTCCTAATATGGTAGAACTGTAGACGTCTTTTATTCCTACTTATTTATGTTGTCATTATTAGTTTCCCCATTACTTTTATTTTGCTTTTGACCTTTTCTGATCTTCCTAATGAATTTTAGAGGATAGTTATTTAACACCAACGCTTCTTCTATCTGTTTTATTTCATCATTTAGGTCTTCTTTATGCTACCTAGTGCTATTGCTCGGTTTGTCAAACACTTAACTAAGCCTGCCTTTACACACAATGAACGGATGAGATGAATAAAAGAAGTCTAAATATCTATTAGCAGAATGCGTTGGCTTTTTATAAACGCAAGTGTGCAGTCTACTTTCTTCCGTTCGTTTTATTTTACAATCTGACATCATGGCTAATTCTCCTTGTTCACTTTCTGATTCAAATGTGAACTGTATTCCCTCTACTAGTGAGTTTATATGTGTCAAGAAGCTAGAGAGAGAGAGATGTTCTATTTATAACACTGTGAAATTGTCATCCACATATCTCCACCATATTATCTTTGGAGTAGGATTCAATGTTTTAAGAGCAATATTTTCCCAGCTGTGCATAATGATATTTGCTACGATTGGGGATACTGGGGATTTGTCGCATTGCTACACCTTCTGTTTGTCGATATATTTTGCCTTGGAATTAAAACACAGCATAACTGAATTCTTAAAATAATTTCCTCAATGGTCAGCTTTGTCCTATGACTAAGTTTAGGATCAGTAAAACGCTGTGTGAGTGAGTGACTTGATATGATGATTATGAGTGGCAGTAGTTTGTGCTTGAAACGTGGTCATCAATTAATATTACTGTATAACAAACACTGTGTGATTTTAAAGACTTCATGCAATTCTTCCCATTAACAAACTTGAACGAAGCAAGAACAACAATTGTACCAGGATAATATGAGCTCATCTTTTATTATTTCGAGGATTCTTCTCAACTAGTTACAACCTGAACGATGAAAAATATGAATTACATTACATTAAAGATTTGAACATAATTTTCCACGATCACAAGGAGTAATTGATTGGTAGGAAGTGTAAAAGTAACATTAGTCCGGAATGATTCAACTAATTAAGAGTTTCAAACACTGACTATTTATAGAATAATTCAAATGAACTGTGATCAATATTTGACCGTTTATAAATATTTATAGAATAATTAGGCAATTAGGCTTGGAAACAAAAACAAGCTGTTGTATATTTTTTGTTGTCACCAGGGCAGTGCAAGATTCACCACTGTCTCTTTCTGCGTACATAGATTTGGTTTAAGTCGTCTGATAGCAATTGCTTCAGCAAAGCGTAGCAAGCTAGGTTTCTTTTGCTTGTTGATTATTTTGAATGACTCCAAGTTGTCTACATTATGACCAGTGTCTAATAGATGACGCGCAACTGCACTGTTTAATACTTGTGAACCTTTCAGTCTCAGGTTCTTTGGTATGTGTTCAGAAATGCGGACAATAACCCTTCTCTCTGTTCTTCCGATGTATGTGCTTTGGCACATACATGTAAATTGGTAGACACAGTTGGAGGTAACATGAGGTGGGTATTTGTCCACTTTTGACTATCTCAAACAACTAGTTGTTTGATAAACACATACAAGCTTGGCTGCTGGATATGTTCTTTTCAGGGCAGCGTTCAGTCTGCATCTTATTCTACTGGCAGTATCATCACCTTTGAATGCAAGCTGCAGAAAGATAGGCTTTTTCTCTACTGTGCTGTTTTTCACTTTTTCAACATGACGTTTCCCATACTTGTCGATGAACTTTTGTGGGTAACCGTTGTCGCGTAGGGATTTCTCCACAATAAATAGCTCTTCCTCAATCTTTTTCTCTGAACACAGCTTCCTCACACGATCAAATAATGTTCTCACCAATCCTTTTTTGTAACTTATAGGGCAGAAACTTTTGAAGTTAAGATAAACCGCCCTCCATGTCTCTTTTCTGTGTATATATCTTATGATTTTGCCATTTATATCTCGTTGGATACCCAGGTCAAGAAAATGGAACTTCTCCTCTTTTTCATGCTCCATTGTTAACCTAATATTAAGATGGGCGTTGTTCAAGACTTTTAGTACTTGAGATGCATCATCAAAAGAATTACAAATAACGAAAGAGTCGCGACAAACCTGGTATAGAAGTTGGTCTGACTGATTGCGATTTGTCAAAATAAAATCTTATCCATATTGAAGTTATAAACACAGCATAGTTGGGGAAAAAACAACTCTCATGTCATGAGGTTGTATCAAAGCGGTCTAGTGGGGGGGGCGGCGGTGAGGGGAGTTGGCGAAACAAATGATTATTATGTAATAATGATATTTCCCAACAATAATAACAACACCAATAATAATAATAATAATTGTAAAATCAAAACTTACATCACATGGAAATTGTTTACAGGCTGTATATTCAGGCACATGACACAATGGCAGTTTGTGTTTATTCCCGGCATAGAAAAAGTCTGGACGATATTTTGGTCGACTTAATTCACGTTGAATATCATGCATAATAGCTAATTTTGTGTCTTTATCCAACAGCAGGCTATTCAATTCACGTGCGATAATTTGACTGGTATACGAATCTAAACTGATTAATGAGGTCAGGGCAGACGGGGAATCTGAAGTTGGCGGTTTCAAACGACTTTGCTGAAAGAGGAAAAACACACATATACACGCACATACACATACACAGAAGGAGGGTTATGAATGGCGTTGTTTTTTTCGAAAATCGAAAAAAACAAAGCAAAATCAGAAAATATCAGTAGTAAGGTGTTTGAAAAGTATTCAAATTATGGATTATTAACAATAATAATAATTTTATACAGTGATTCCCTTTTATAAATTTGAACAAAGAAAGAAGCCGATTTTCATCAAACTTGACTATAAGGGCGATGACATTATGAGAATGATAAATAAAAGATTATGTGCAGCCCTGTCTAGGACGTATCCTGCAGCGTTATTAGTCTCTCTATCCCGAACAACCTCTTCAACTGGTGCAGTCAAAGATTGACAAGTACCCCTCACATGTTACCTCCAACTGTGTATACCAATTTTACATGTATCCGCGGGAGCAGTTACATTGGAAGAACAGAGAGACGAGGGCCTACGTCAGATTCTGCAAACATGTACCAAGGAGCCTCCGGTTAAAAGGACCGAATTATTTAAGCTCTTCAATCGCCAAACATCTGATTGACACAGGATACCAAGTAGATGTGCTGAAATCATTCAAAATAATTAACAGATAAAATACCTCATGTCTTCTCAGGTTTGCTGAAGCTATAGCAATAAAACGATTTAAGCCTGACTTATGTGTCCAAAAAGAATCCGTTGTTGGACTTCAATTACCCTGGTAAATCACTTCTTAGTAACTCTTTGTTTTCTAATTTTGTTAAGTTATCTTTTCTTTCCACCCCCCTCCCTTTATGTTTCGCTTGACTCTCTTAAGAGATAATTTTTCATGATCTTCTGAGTTCTGCTCACTGTATTACATCATCAACTTCTCATCTGACCTCATGTGCACCGTAATTTTAAAATTTTGATCTTCTCTTATCTAATAACGTAACTATTGCTAATTATCTTTTGTTACCACCTTAACAACACAAGTGTTAACTGATTTTCTCAAGAAACTTCTCTCTACCAAGATATATATATGTCATGACACTTTAGACACCCTGTAAATCTCAATGCTTATTTTACTATGACGCTCTGACATTATGCTTGCGAATGGACAAAGGTTTGTTAAAATTGTACACTTTTTTATTTTTGATTAAAAGAAATTCAGGTTGTGCGCAGCTGATGATAACCAACGAAATAAAATGGATCCAGATTATTCTGCGCCAATGTTTCTTCTTTCTTTGTTCAAATAATCACTTTCAATAGTTGGTTTGTAAGGATTAGATTTTCTTACGAGTTTGACCATGGTGCCATTGAAAACCAGCACTGGAGTACTTACTGGACAGCTGTTTCATCCTAGTCTGGGAATCATCGCCAGTACGCACCCACCACCAGCCTTCGAACCCAGGACCTTCCGGTTACAAGGTTAACCAGCTCGTATACCATTCAGACACTGGGACCCGATTCAGTGGCCAGCTGATGAATTCTAACTTCTACCATTTCGTGATTTAGCGCGACTGGCACCAACCAATGTCGTCGGTGAGACATCCATCCTCACATGCGACATCTGGATCGACGTCACTGATCACGACTTCTCACTAGAACTCCAGGAAACTCCATCCTGTAGAAAGTCACTAGCGAGCATCAGATAAATTTTTCTATAGTTTGGTTTTTACGAGTTGATCACGGATTGATATCAGTTAGAGAACCATTGAAAACCAGTACTGGAGTACTGAACAGCTGTTTCATCAGCCTAGTTTGGGAATCATCGCCAGTGCGCACCCACCACCAGGATTCGAACCTAGGACCTTCCGGTTATTAAGGCAAGCTCGTATACCATTCAGCTACTGGGAGCCGATTCAATGACCTATGAATTCTGACTTTCAGTAGATGTCTAACTAATATCAATCCATGGTCAAACTCGCAACAGCAAGTCTAATCCTGATAAACCAACCCATGGCTCGCTAGTGAATGACTGGCTACAGGATGGAGTTTCCTGGAGTTTTAGTGAGAAGTCGTGACCACTGAGGTCCATCCAGATGTCACGTGTGAGGATGGATGTCCCACCAACGACAATGGTTGGGGTGGCGCTAAATCGCGATTTGTTAGAAGTTGAAATTCATGAGCTGGCCATTGAATCGGGTCCCAGTGGCTGAATGGTATACGAGGCAGCTAGCTTGCCTTGTAACTGCAAGGTCCTGGGTTCGAAGCCTGGTGGTGGGTGCGTACTGGAGATGATTCTCAAACTAGGATGAAACAGCTGTCCAATACTTCTTTCTGGTTTTCAATGATTCTCTAACTGATATCAATCCATGGTCAAACTCGTTAAAAATAATAATAACAATATTAATAACGGTTATTATTAGTACATGTAAAGATGACTGAAAGTGACTTATTTTAGTCAGACGATTAGTTCGGTTGTTTTCGTGAGATTTTAACCAGGCCTTCTTACACAGTTCGATTGCATAATATCGTTAATTACAATGCAATTGACTGCGTGACGTGTACTACTCACAAGATTCATCAGTAGTACATACATATAAAGAGACATGCATCAGCACACAAAAATATCAAATAGTGGAGTAATAGGCTTAACATCGAAATGACTGCGTTGTGGTGAAACATGGAAGATATAAAATGAGACAAAGAAACACGATACAAGGGGGGTGGGGTGCGGGCGAGTAAGTAGTACAACACGGAAGATTTCTATAAATGACGATTTTCAGATAAGGTGTGCATAACTCCTCTAGTATACAGAGATATAAAAGTCCAAATAGACATTCCGTCGTTTCCAAGTCTTTTGTCTTCAGCCTTTACTGTAACGTGAAGAGAAAGAGAGAGAGTATAATAACCAGAAAGAACTTTAGCTGGAGAATACTTCAGCTATACTATAGCACCGATAAAAGGACTCTAAAAGATCTCGATTTCGCTGATGATATATGTCCAATGTCACATAAACTCGAAGACTTACAGGCAATAACAAACAAACTGGTTGATGAGACAGTGAAGAAAGGACTCCAAATGAACACAGAGAACAAGGATGTGATGAAGATAACCAACAGCAACAGCAACAACAACCACCACCAATCACCATCAACGGGAGAGATTTAATAGAGGTTGCCTCCTTCAACTATATACGCAGCAACTTTTCAACTACAGGCGAGAGAACGGATGAAGATGTCAAAATCAGAATCGTAAGTCTTGTAACCAGAAGCTCCTGGGTTCAAACCTCCTGTTGGTGGATGGATGCGTACTGTGAAGAGTCCCAAACTAGGACGAAACAGTTGTCCGTACTAGCAGGTTTTCCGATGGTTCTCTAATCAATGTCAGCTCATGATGAAATCCTGTAACTAATAAAAAGTAAACCACGTGACAAGAAAGTTCAAATTCCAGATCGATACAAATTAATGATCAATACAGATTTAAATCGACTACCAGTCAGTTACGAAGATGGTGGTGGCCAGAAGACACAATTTTTATCATTCATAGAAGGAGAATTTAAATCAGTTCATTTTATGTAAAAATCTGAGCTGAAAGCTTCGCAATTAAACCAACCAGCTCTTCAGAGAACACAACTAATTGCAAATCATCCATCTGAACTACAAATATATTCTCCACTATTTAAAAAAAATTTGAGATTTATTGTTAGTTGATTATTATCATTATTATTATTGGGTTCAAATGATGGCGTGAAGACTAACCCATGGTTATTGGTGACTAGTAATCAAATGAACAGTATTCAGGTAGCAGAACTTGTAGGGATTTCAGAATAGATTTCAATAGTCACATGTTCGCCATGAAACAAAATCAGTCGATAAGAGATTATTGAAATCCAGAGCAGGAAGCACTGGACAACTGTTTGGTTCTATACTTCAGGAGTCTTCATAAGTGAGCAACCACGACCGTTCCCTCACACACACACACAAACAGCGGCTGAACCCCGGGCATTCAGATTCTGAGACTAAGCCCATCGACTGTTTATCTACTTTGGCTGGAATTCAATGAATCTGAATATCAATCGTCAGTTCGCTGATGACTATTGGATGGATATCTTGAAGCCGCAGTGACTGGTGGAGTCCACCATAGCAAGGTGATGTGGATCCCTATCTCATGCATTGATGAGGGTAGCTCTGTATCACTAGTTGATATGGGGTGACTAAATTCCAGTTCAATTAGCTGAACGGTTGCAAAGCTTGGTCTCCCAACCCACATGTCCCGTGTTCGATCCCTGACAGGGTCATGGGTGTACAGTTCTGAAGAGTCATGAACTAGGATGAAATAGACATAAAACACTTCCTAATATCCATGATCCCTGCAACTGATGTTAGTTCGCGACAAAATTCCAACAAATAGACTCAAGAATACGCATTTCCTTCAATTTGAAATCTGTCAGCAGGATGTACTTGCATTCCAAAATTCCCAAAAGGATTGGAATCTAGCAACTATTACTTCAAACACCAAGGCGTTTATCCACCAGACAACTGGGTCACGACAGTCGACGGGTATCAACTGTTAATTTCTTTCAACTAATTTGAACCGATATACTGGGTCTTTTGTTAGCGTATGCGAACTCCTAATCACCGATGCTTCAACGAAATCTTCAGATAAACAAAAAATTAGCAAAGAAATCAATATAGCCGTTGCACGACAGTTGGCTTCTCATAGCCCTGGTTGAATAGCACAAGAGGAGGAGGAGATTGGATTCAAGTGCCTTTGAGAATATCATCCATTCATTGGAGAGGGGGGGAGGATGCAGTTACATTATTCAGCAAACCAACGAGTCTCACACAAGATAAAGTGTACATCATGGATCTTACCTGCTTTATTTTTTTACTTCCTTCACGTTCCCAGTGGAACATAGGCCGCCTTCAAGCTAAATGCTTGAAGTTTCTGTAGCAGTGGTGTTTATTTTAACAGGATGGGGTTGCCAGCCAGCCTCATGCCCAACTAACCTTTCCTCTTTACCAGCTTTCTATTTCTGGCTTAGCAGAGTAAAGGAGTGCGTCTGTGGCCGGGGATCGACGCCCAGACCATGTGTATTGTGGGTGAGATTCCTAACCGCTGTACCACCGCTGTGTACCTGCTAGCCATTATCAACTAAGCATTTGAAACTGACTATTAGGTTTAAATAACACACACACACAAACACAAACAAACACAAACATCAGGCATAATAAACAAATAATAAAGCAATACATACTGAGTCTTGTGGTGAAATTGAACGATTCACTGTAATTGATAAATGACGTGGTTGTATTCGTTGTTGTAGTTGCTGTTGTTGCGGGTTCTGTTGTTGTTGCAACTGTTGTTGTAGGTCAGTCAACGTTTCATTATCTCGAATACTTGACGCCAGTTCACTATACAATGATGAAATGAGTAGACTGCGTTTTCGACGGGAAATATTTGTTGCCAATGAACCATGTAACAGCTCATAACGATATACTTGATTCAATTTATCATATTGTATATTTTTTGAACTATCTGTATACGGGATATTATTAAAATTTGTACAAGATTCAACACGACTATCACCACCACCGCTGCCACCACCAACGCCAACTCCACCAATTCCAGTTGTCGTAGAACTATGACGATTCGATGTCGCTGTTATCACTTGTCTTGAACTAGTTGATATTGATGTCGTTGATGGAGAAAATGGCAGCTTGTTTTGTCCATGTAGTTTACGGAGTATAGCACGTGCTATGCGTCGAACAGCAGAACGACTAAATTGTACCGGAGGTGGAAGCACTGCAACGCATGCCTGTATAATAAATTAAAAAAATAATATTTCTATGCTTTACACGTTTGTAAAAATTGTTTATCATGAATAAAGAAATAATAAAACAGATTTGATAATGAGTTGAAATCAATTACAGAGAATCATTGGAAGACCAGTAAGTATTACTAACTAATTGACTGACTGGGTTCAACAAAGGACCTTGCACAGATATACAGATATATGCAAATTTACGCCGTCTCTGGCTTATGAGACGTGATATCCGACTATCGACCAAAGGGCGTGTGCACTGCTCAACAGTCCGCTCCGTCCTCCTTTATGGCCAGCTGTGAGACCTGACCATTGAGAGCGGAAGATATGAAAAGATTAGCTGTCTTCGATCATAGGTGTCTGCGTTCTATCTCCCGTGTGAAGTGGTATAATAAGGTGAGCAATATTGAGGTTAAGCCTTCAGTCGAGTGCTAGGTAAGGAGGGGAAATCAATCGACGAGGCTATGAAATTACATCGACTGAGATGGTTAGGACATATGTTACGTATGCTTAGTCATCGCCTTCCTCGACAATGGGTAATGTTAGCTGATATAGGGTCAGGCTGGAAAAGAGCTAGTGGTGGTCAAACCAAAACATGGCACCAGTCAATGAAATCTACAACAGTTAGTCTAAGCCACGTAGAAAGGTGCAGACTTCCTGACAGGTTGGGGTCCTCGAGACGGTAAAAAACAATGGTTGAAAACAATTGGTGATATGGCTCAAAATCGCTCTCAATGGCTGGTACAGATGCATCCACTCCTTGTGACTCATGATTTCCAATGAAACTGTTTTGTTCTTCGTTATTACCATACCTTTGTCTCACACCTCTGTTTACTGTCTATATTATACATTTCACCTACTTTCTTCTCTTGCTTTGTGTGCTACAAGGAGGGAGTGTGGCGACTTGAACTGCCGCACATGTGTGCAAAGTTCTATGTTGAAAACAGACAGACAAACACTCTTACCACTTGATAATTTAAGCACGGGGAGAATTTTAATTTCCCTCCAAAGGATGAGGCTCAGAAAACAGTTTTGTATAATCATGATCAAGGACACTGAAAAAAAATGTTTCAAACTTTCAAATAGAAATATTCAAAGATTATGCAAGAAACGGAAAACAATACAATGGTAGAGATGGCTAATAGCAGTCAACTGTCATCAATCACCAACCACCCACCCCCAACTCCCTACTCAGTTCATTGATGCATACAATCAATTCTACCTCAGTAGCTCACAATGCATACTAAACACACATATGATTCCGCGTTCGATTCCCAGCCGACTCACTGTTATAGCTCACTTAGCGGGGGTAGTCAGCCAGCCAGGTAAAGACAGAAAGTTGGGTGGAAGGTTAACAACTCCAACTTGAAAGCGCACAATGCCTGAAGCTCTATGTCCCTATCCCATTCAAAACCCAAAGAAATGAAAAGAGTAGATAAATTTAAAAGTCAATCTGAACGGAGAATATTCTTTTCAATAATTTCTCTTCAGGTTATTTAATAAATTAAGTGCATAAAAAGCTCGATCCTGTGACACTTGGTCGATACTGAACAACATATCGATTTCAACACAGCTTTCAGGGTTATATACTGAATTCCGAAGTCGTTATCACGTACAGTTCGCTTACGTCTTCTACACATAGCTGAAGCTGTTGCAATAAGATCGATTAAACCGGAACTTTGTATCCAAAAAGAACACGTCCAGACGCTGTTCCTACCGTGGCCAAACTTGGATTGATGATTCTTCTTCTCACCAAGAGTGCTCCTTCCACTTAACCCTCTTGGTTTGTTTTGTTTTTTCCTTTGCTTATTATTACAAATATTATCATTACAATTATTATTATTATTCGTCATAATTTATGCTCTTCATGCAAACATTCTCTCAATACTATCGAATTTTCCATTTATACTATCCAGACTTATTATTAGTGATATTATCTCTTTTCTCAATATATGCCTCCACCTGTTTCATTTCACATATTCGTTATCTCATTATGAACCTCCCATTGCAGTCTTACTATCTCCTGTTTAACACAGACCACTTTGTGCTAGCCACTCCACTCACCTGGCACCTTTTATAACCTTGAACTGACTTGTCAATTTTCCTATCCCACACTCTACGAATCTATTATGACTAATCACCATCCTTATTGTCTCCCATTTCACAATATTTTGTAATCGAATTCAGCCTAGCACGTTTGTCACACAAATACGACTATTTATTTTGACACCCCATAACTAATCTGTTATTCTACGTTAAAAATGTATCCGCCGCATAACTGGCCTTTATTGCAACGACAACAAATATTAAATTTTATAATTGTAAGAACCTGACGAGGAGAAAAAGTTACTGAAAAGAATATTCTTCGTTCAGATTGACTTATAATTCATAATATGGGAATTTTCCACACTATCAAATAGATAAATTTCCTCACCCCACCCCCCTTAAGAAACTTACCGGTTGTGAATTTCTATGAAATTCACATGTGGCTTCTTCAAATGATGACATTGGAAATCCTTCTGTTAATGTTTGTAGATTTTTACGATTATTATTATTATTGCTAATGTACTTCAATTGTCCTGAAGAGGATGAATGCAACGATAATGACCCATGATCCCCTTGACTCTGATTCTGTGTCGTTGTTAGTGGTTGACTGGTGTTCATCTCTTCTTCATCTTCTAATTTTCCTCTAGTTTCAGCATCTTCTTCGACTGCTTCTCCAGATTGTTTACCTTGTTGTCGCCCTTCTTCGTCTTCTTCTCCTTCTTCATCGCGTTGTGTATTCAGCATACCGGCAGTGGTAGTATGAGCAGCAGTCGTTGCACTATACACAGCAGCTGCAGCCATAACAACTTCATAGGCATCAGATGATGATAAAGCGACTAGTTGATTCTCACGTGTTATCACCATCCCATCAAGACTACCAGTTGATGTGGTACGTTGACGTGATTTCTCTTCAATGATTCGTGCCATTATAGAACCACTGAGAATACAAAAACAGGGCGTAAATAAAAACATGTCATCAAAAATACATGCCATGTAGAATATACACTAACAATGAATAAAAACTATAAAGTTACATAGATTGAGATGGCTAGGTCACGTGCTAAGCATGCCTAACCATCGTCTCCCCCACCCCGACGGGCATTACTAGCTGATATAGGTGCAGGTTGGCTGGAAAAGAGTAAGTGGTGGCCAAACAAAAACATGGCCTCATCAATCCATGAAATCCCTGACAGTTAAACTGAGTCAGGTCGATTGATATTTGCGGTATCAAGTAGATGTTTCGGTTTGACAAAGCACTAGCTAGCTCCTCTCCAACCTGATTCATCCTATGTCAGTCAGCCAACTTTGCCTATCGAGGAAGGTGATAGATAGTTAGGCATGCATACGTAACACATGTCTAAACCATCTCACTCAATCGATACAGCCGCTTCACAACCTCGTTGATTGATTTTCCCTCCTTACCTAACACTCAACTGATGCCTAACCTCAAAATTGATCACCTCACTAAACCTACCACTTAACATGCAAACACATATGATCAAAGACAGCCAGCTAACCTGTTCATATCTTCAACTTTTAATGGCCACTTCTCCCTCACAGCCATAAGGGATGACGGAGCGAACAAGTGCTGTGCAGTACACACGTCCTTTGGTCGATAGTCAGCTAGCCAGCCGGATATAACGTCTACTAAGCCAAAAATGAAGTAGGTTGCCATATGACAAACGAGCCTTCTGTATCCATGATGGGATTTCGTCAGTAATCAACCCGTTGGGCCTGGCTGATGCAACTTCCCAACCAAATAAATGAAGTTGTCAACACGCTCAGCCATCACTTCACTCCTGCTTATCCTTACGCCAGCTAGGAGTCGATTTAGTCCAGTCCTGTAGCCTCATCAAGTTACATTTGGTAGCAGTAGAGCCCAAATCGAATGCCAAAACACATTTGAGGATTGCTTTATGACAGGGTGTTCAGAAAACTCTGCTGTATTGTGCCACTGTCTTCACCTAGCAGGGAGAACTATATCACCTGTATATTCTAAGTCAACAAGACTACTATTCCCTAATTGTAAAAATGCAAAACCCTGAGTCGCTCAAATCACTTAGGATTAAGTTCAAAGGGCCAAAAAAACAAAAATAAAAAAAGAATTATAACAGACTATCTGTTTGTAGATTATAAAACACATACCGTTGAATGGCAATTTTTTTATCTGGACGTCCACCAACTTTTGCTGATTTCATACCAAATGATGTTGTAAGGGATTTATGCTTTTTACATTTTGACTTCTTCACTAAATTCGCCTTTTTCTTTATTTCCGATTGTTTTAATAATTTTACCAATTTAATTTTTTCATGTATACTGACTGGACGAAATAATGCAATGCCAACCTGTTGAAGAAGGGATGGACAAAAAAACAGGTAACACACAAAGATGATGGATGGTTGAACGCAATGTGTAATCTGTCAAGTGAAATACACACAACACACAAAGAGAACAAAACATACCATACCAAAACATACCAAACAAAACGATACCATACTTGGCCCGTGTTCTAAGTGACAGAGACAATGTTAAGCGCGAAACCTATGACTTCCTTTGTTGTTAATAACATAATTTTAGGCTCTTTTATTTCTCTCTTATTTTTGTATTCTATAGTGAACTCCTTCTTAAACATACTTAGCTACCTAAATTATTAACATTGGCTTACTTTTTTTGTACTTTACTCTATTCCTTCTTTTGTGTATCTACTGGTTCCGACTATATTAGCACTATGAGTAGTACAAAATTGTCCTGTCATTAACCATCATGTAATATTAGTTTTTGTGGTTAATTTTTTTCGACAATATTAACCGACGATCACTGGTTGTGAACGCCATTATCACCATCTTAAAATTTTGTATTATGCAGGATTACTCACACTACTACTACTACTACAAACACTGCATTAGACCTGACAATAAAAAACAAAACAACAACCCTGAAATGTTATTTGATGATTGTTTAGAGTTGTTCAACCAAATTATCTGATCATCTTGGCGATAAACATTCTTAAATATCATTTCATAGCTTCTTGTATGACTATAGCTTTACTGGCACCATGCATAATCATATCATAGTTTCCACTATCCAATACTGAGATCAAATAAAGTATAATAATATTTCAATAGTTTACACACAATGATACGTTTTGTTATTGGTAATATTTCGAGCAAAATTACTGCCCGTGTTCACACCATTGTTGGAATTGTTTTATATTACCAATAACAAAACTTATCATTGTGTGTAAACTATTGAAATATAATTATACTTTATTTGATCTAATCCACAATGCTCAAACTTTTTACTGATATCAATACTGAGATACTATTTATTATGTTATTTATTTTCCTTCCTAATTCTTGGTATTGTTTTCGCATTCTTTTATTATTTTTGTGTTTGTTTTTGTTGTTGCCTTTATATTTATTTTTTTGAAATACTCCTTTTAAATGCTTGATAAAATTAGATGCAAATATTGTAGATATTTGCTGAAAATTCCACACTGTACCACTAGTACTGTTTCTGAAATAAAGCAAATTATTTTTCACATAATGAAGTGGAATGCAGACAGACAGTTAAGTATACTACACGAACGGACGTCGTGATGTAGTTGTGTTTTCTGAGCTGGCTGGATGGCTGGCTTACTTGTGAAGCTTCTATGGTGGCCGAAAAACATATCAAATTATACGTTCACCGATAAATTGTAAAAAAAAATTAAGGAATTCAAAGAAAATCGCGGTTGTTATGTGAGACTGAACAAGGATACAACCTTGGACCGCACACAGCAAGGACGAATCTTTTTCCCTCTCGCTTATCACATCTAGCGACCAACTCTGCCTCGTACCGATCGACACATCCACATTAGGATACTTACTTCTTTGTGGGGATTCTTTTTTCTTTGATGAGCTAGAGGATTTCATCATGAGCTGACATCAGTTAGAGAAATATTGGAAAACCTGCAGGGAGTACTGCACAGCTGTTTCGTCTTAGTTTGGGACTCTTCGGCGGTACCCACCACAGGGGGTTCGAACCCAGGACCTTATGGTTACAAGGCGAACTTCTGCCAAAGCATAACATAGAGCGACCAATTCCCAATGTCTTCTTCGATGATTTACTGCCTCACCTTCAACCTGCTCTACCCTACTGGTGACGGCTTCCCACTAGAACCCCAGGTAACTGCCTGAATAGAGTCGCACTGTGTCACGGCAGAAGTAAGAATTCATGGGCCATTGGGTCGAATCCCAGTGTCTTAATATTCTACGAGCTCGTCTTGTAACCAGGAGGTCCCGGGTTCGAACCCCCTGTGGTGGGTTCAACCAGTAAAATAAAATTTTATCACGGTAAGTTCGATTGAATGAATGTCTTCATATGTATTTTCTCATACTATTATTGGTCCCTTAGTTTCCTTGGGGAATTTAATGCCTTAGCAGCACATCTTCATTTCAATCGGTTCTCTACAACTATTTTATTTTTCACAGGATTTTCATCATGAGCTGACATTGGTTAGAGAACCATTGGAAAACCAGCACTGGAGTACTGGACAGCTGTTTCCTCCGTCCTAGTCCGGGACTCTTCAGCAGTACGCATCCACCGGGATTCGAGCCCAGGACCTTCTGGTTACAAGGCAACCTCGTATACCATTAAGCCACTGGGACCCGATCCAATGGCCCATGAATTCTAACTTCTGCCAATTCACGACATAGCGCGACCCCTAGCCAATGTCTTCGGCGAGTATTTGTCCTCACACCCGACCTGCTGCACCCTACTGGTCACGACTTAACTTTCTCCATGATTGCCTATAAGCTTTCATCTTCGCCTCATACCATGATCTTCTTTATGACACCGTCGGACACACCCAACTCGTTAATTCGCAGTCTGGTTACACTTGACAGTCTTCTTAGCACATGATATCACTCAATAATCTGCTCATCAAAGTATATCTAATCCATCTCAACTTCTTTGAGCATATTTATTTGGCGATAGGTGGTTTGATTGGTTAGTCACCACAGTGGGGAGTAAGAAGACAGAAATACGCTGAGCTGACCGATAAGAAGACTCTAGAAGATCTGCGATATTGCACGTGGATGATTTATGCCTAATGTCACACAAATTGGAAATACTTGACGGCAGGCAAAAATCAGCAAACAGGATGAAGAGGCAGCGAAGCCAGGACTCCAGGTGAACGTAGAGAACACGGAAGTGATGAAGATAACCAATCAATCGATAACAACAGCAACAAGAAAAACCAGCACCAATCACCATCAATGGAAGAGGTTTGACAGAGGTTGCATCCTTCACTTATCAGGCTAGGAAGCATCGTTTCAACTACAGACAGTCGGGAAGGATGAAGATGTCAAAAAAGGAGGCCAGAATCGGAAAGGCAAGGAGAGAGAGATATGCCTTCATAAACCTGAAACCAGTTTTCAAATCTTCTACAGTGCACAGCAATCCACCTCAGCAAAGAACAAAAAATTCGGATTTTCAACACAAATGTGAAGTCAGACAGAAACCTGACCAGCGTGTCACGAGAAGCATTTCCAACAAGCCTCTGCAGACTAATGTCAACGGTCGCCTCGTTCCATACCAAAGATCAAATGGCCAGCTGGTTGGCCAGAAAGAATTAGCAACAAGAAACTCTGGCTGTGCGTTGGTGGCATAGCGGTTAGGACGCTCGCCAACCATATACATGGTTCGGGGTTCGATGCCCGGCCGACGCACACCTGATATCAATGGTCAACCTGCTAAATATGCTGAAAATTTCATATTTGTACCAAAATGCTGTGTGGAATCAAGCTGTAATCAAAATAAATATAAAATAAGTAAACAAACAAACCAAGAGCCGACTGCTCAACAAATATGTAGGAGAAAAGAAATAATGAGGCATACGGTGAGGAGACCGTCAAATGACATTACCCGCAATGTGGGCCATCGCTCGAGGTAAATCCCGACGGGTTGCGACCAGTAGGTAATCTGTGCGGAGATGACATGGAGGAGATCGCGTGAGTTGGAGTAGGAGATGAGAGATTATGGAGAATCGTGAACCCAGCTGAAAAAAGGACAGCACCGAATAGAACAAAGTGGAGACGTGGTGTTGCATCCCTATGTTCCACTTGGAACCCAAGGGAGTAATAATAATAATGATAATAATAAGTCGCCATAGTGTTCCTTGTTCTCAATTTTCTCTAGATGGCTATCTGATTTTCACCATGGAGCCAGCAAAGGAGGTAGCTGTTGATGAATGCGTATGGTAGCCTGTTAGAAATACATTTCAAGACGCATGTGCCAAATCTCTCAAACCGCCATATAGAATACTGACTAACTTGACATCATTATTGTTGAAAGTGTAAAGCTTGTGTTCATTATGCTGAGTACAGCAGATCACCCCCCCCTCCCAAGTTACCTATCTGCATTATTTCAGGAGGTTGACCTCAGATATCATACAACCTTCTAGCAATTAACTCAAAACTACTTCGGGTACATGTATGTAGTACACATACAATGGAGGTTATCACACGTATAAAAATGCGAAAAAAAACAAGAACAGACAAAAAACAGTAGCACAAACAGATCAGATGACACAATCAATGCGTATATAATTAATAAACAAGAAAATATCATTGATTAATTAGTCACAGAGGTTATACACATATATATATATGTACATGTGCAAAAAGAAGTTCATACAATGTTTTCTGTTTTAACTGGGTTTTTTTGACAATTTGATCTCGGAGATTATGTTCACCACGTATATTGGGCGATGTGCTGATAGGTTACAAGATTTCATCATGAGCCAACATCGGTTAGATAACCATTGACGAACCAGCATCAGAGTAGTGGACATCTATTTCGTCAGACTAATTTAGGACCCTTCAGTGAGAAGTTGTGACTAGCAGGTCGGGTATAAGGACAAATACCCGTCACTGATGAAGTTGACTAGTGCAAGTTGCACTATATTGTGAATTATCGTCAGAAGTTGGAATTCATGAGCTGGCCATTGGGTTGACGGACCCCGGTGGCTCAGTAGGTTCAAACCTCAGTGGATGCGCACAGTGAAGAGTCTCAAACCTGGACGAAACAGCTGTCCAGTACTCCCTACTGGTTTTTCAGTGGTTCTCTAACCGACGTCAGCGCATGATGAAATCTTGAAATTAGTAATAACCTGACAAAATGAAGAAATAAACCACTGTTTCAATAAAGGTTCGCAATGACTGATGATGTAACCGAAAAAGCATCACAAAAAAAATAATTCAGTCTAATAGATTTGATGCCTTTAAAGTGAAGACAGGAATAAGACAACATTACCTACTATCGCCCATGCCATTTCGCATTGTCGTGGGCTAGATAATGCAGT